AAAAAAAAAAAAAAAAAAAAAAAAAAAAAAAAAAAGAGGGAAGGCAAAAAGCTCCCCCTTCTCCTCCGTTATCCCGATTTGGCTACTTGCTGCTTGACTCCCCTTGATGAGTGTTACTGCAATCCCTGTCTGCTCAGATGCTGAGCACTGGGCAAGTAGTCTAGAGGAGAGCCACACACTTCTGGCTGGAAGACGAGGGAGGGCGGCAGCGGCGGCAGCAGCCGCCTTGCCATGTTGGCTTCGAGATGCAAATGTGCCGCGGCTCCCGGCGGGCAGACATCATCCGGAAAGCGAAGCTCAAGCCTCAAACTCCTCAACCTGCCGGCCAATAACACAATGAACTGCAACCTGCAGCGGCCACTGCTTGCTTACATCACTGTCATCACTTATTCCTCATGCAGCCCCTGCTCCTGGGAATATTCATGAAGCGATCCCATTCTATTGGGTTGCCATAGGAGCGACTACAGCGCTCAGGCTCTGCCTACCTGAGACAGCACCCGGGCTTCTTAAAGGGGCAACGCCCGGCAACCGCGGGGCTCTGCCGCCGCCGCCGCGGGCACCGCGCCCCGGGCGCTGCGGGCACCGGGCAGCGCCGGGCCCGGGCCCGCCCCGCGCTAGCGGCCACGGCAGCCGGGCTGCCGCCAGCTTATCAACAGCAGCATCGTAAACATGACAAAGTAAATAAATAGGAGCGAGAATATTCCTTTTTCTCTCGGATGCGGGCGCTCCCTGCTCCGCCCGGAGGTGTGGCTGCCGGGGGCAGGTTTGCTTGTGAAGGCACAGGGGGTTTTGTGAGAAGGGGCGAACCCAAATCTAAAGGAGAACCAGCGGTTCACCTTGAAAATCTCACTCGCATGCAAAGCAGGGGCTCGGGAGTGCCCGTGTTCCCTAGCAGAAGTTCACCTGCCGGGAACACGCTGCCTTTGCCCCCGTCCGCAGGAGGTTTGGAAGGACCCTTTTCCCTGGCTGTCGGGGTTGGATGAGGGGAAGTCATCCAAAACCGAATAAAGACAGGGCAGCTGCATCTGGGCGAGCTCCGCCGCTGGCCTGCGGGGGCTGGGCTGGCAGTGGGGGCTGCGTGGGCTCTCCCCGCGGCGGGGGAACCCCACTTCCCAGGGGGGGGCTCCTGAGTCAGCACCGCCCGCCGAGGCTGCTCGGGAAACGGCTCCGGCTGCCAACGCTGCTGCCCCGCACTGCTGCCCACAGGGCACCGCCTGTCACAGAGGCGAAAGCAGCGGGGGAAAACGCCTACAACGAGCCATTTCCCTTCCTTCTCATACTAGAGAGGGTTTTTCTGGAGAAAAAGAGGGAAAGAGGTGGCAATCAGCCCTGCCTGTGCTTCTTTAGGAATGGCTGCTTATTCTGTTTTAAAAGCTCCTGGATTGATAAAGTGGCTCAAATAGCTCCTAGTGCCAAGCCTGTGAAATCAGTGGAGTAAAATTAACAATCTGTTTGGTCATATGAGAGATTTTGGTGTATGTTTTTGCAGAGATTCAGCATCTGAGGCTTTCTAGAACGTCTGTTGTTTCAGACATTGCAAATCCTACCTGCTAAGGGAAGGAAACCACGTGAACTGTGCAGGCAGGGAGGCTGAGCACAGCAAGGAATGCCCACGGCAGGCAGGGAGGAAATCCCCACCTCACCCCTGTGCTGCTGCTGCTTTGGGAGCAAATAGTCCCCTTTTCCCTTGCAGGAACCACTGGCCAGCGGTGACTGTGCCATGCAGAGCAGGAGGATGTTCCTGCAGCTCCACGGCAAGGAAATGCTGCTCAGCAGTGACTCCACCAAGCACACACACAGCACATGCTTCCTCATCTTTGTTTGCCTCTCCCTCGCTCTCTCCCGAATCCTTTCCCCCATGTGTTCTACCTGCTCCTCTTCTACTCCCACCTCCTGGCACAGCCAGACTGCCTGTGACTCATTCCAAATACTCCACAGTGTAAATATCATTTAATATTATTATTTTCATCACAATTTCTAATAGAATGAGCTTTTCTGGGAAATAAATTTCATTTTTCCGATGCTCCTGTAGATTTGATAAGGTGAACGAAGCCAGGGAGAGCACTAAAGGTCTTTTCCCTGTTTTCCTTCCCTCCTGCAGGCACTAGGGATGCTGAGGTGTAAGCACTTCTGTGCCTCAGCTGCAATCAACTGCCTTCCAAAAGGATGTGTTTTGATTAATGAGGTGCACCAACACCTGAAACTGATGCAGCTTCTTAAGCCTAGTCCCTCGTGTTCCCAGGGAGTGACAGAGCAGGCAAGGACGTGCTCAAGGAACCAAACTGTTTGTCCTCTCTCAGCCAGAGGTGCTCTGGCTGGCACTCGGAAAATGCTGCTGTTCCTGCCCGGCTGGGATTGGAGTGCC